GCGTCCGGTGTCTGGGTTCGAGTTGAGAAGCGAGTCGCACAGGTCCGCCCCAGTCACAGTCACGGGAGGATCCCGCGCGTGGGCGTCTTGAGGTGACCTTGCCGGCCTGTCCAAGGGTGGGAGCACCTTAGCTCTCGTGTTCCGCATCATCGGAAGAGCAGGTGCAGGCCCTGACCTGCCGGGTCCATTCTTGTCAGGGGTGCTGATCCAGTGCATGAACCCACAACTCGAGGGGCAGCTGGCAGAGGGCGGGCCCTGTCTGCGGAGTGCTGCGTGCTCTGTCTTCACACACGTTCACACGGGGAGCTTACGGGGGTTTGCTCAGCGCGGAACCCCGCCCGGCGGCTCAGATACCCCGAGAGCCTCACCCCGCCCCCTCCACCCCACGGCTCTTCCCGCCGCTCTGTTGTCTTAGATTCTTGTAAAAACAGATACATTTCGTCTCTGCAAACCGCCAGGGTGGTGGCGTGTGCCTGTCGTCCCCGTCTCTCGGGAGACTGAGGCAGGGAGACCGCTTGCGTCTGGGAGTTTAGGACCAGCCTAGGCAACACAGTGAGACCTTGGCTCCAAATTAAAATTTTAAAGATAAATTAATTAAAAAAGAAAAACTGCTCTGTGCTGGATGGGCTGTGTATTATCAGCCCCCTTTCTGGGTGAAAAAATAGTCTGTCGTCGAAATAGCTTTCAATTGATTAAATCCAGCATTGTAGAACTACTTCCGTGTGGTCATCTAGTTTCAAGGTTTACTCATTCCAGCAAAAACGTGTTGACCTTGGTAGCTCCTCACTTAGCATAGAGAACAGTGCCCACCTGACGGGCCGGTGTGGCGTTTGCTGGGTTCCGGCAGGGACTGAGTGGCGGCAGGTTCTCCTGTCGTGTTTATGATCCAACTGGTTTCATCCCTTCTTGATGTTTTCACATTCCATTATCAGAGTCTCATCTTAATTTGAACTTTGTAGCTTGCAGTCTGTATTACTTAACTTTCCACATATCGGAGTCACCACCCATCTGGTGGAATATTATACAGGTATCAAGAACGATGGTGGGTGTGTTTCTACGGTGGCATGGAGGCGTGTTCATGATAGGGGCACACAGAGTGTAGAAGTTGGTTTTACTTTTTTTTTTTTTTTTTTTTGAAGGAAAGGCATAAGCATCTTAGAGATTTTGGAATATGTAGATTGATATTCAGAACTTTCTGAATGTCAGGTTTCACTTTTTTAGGCCTCTACCTGGAGCCTGAATTTTAACACTATTTTACTTATTAATCACCAAAAGCATTTTTCAGTTTGAGACAAAGTGTTTCTTAAAATGTCCCAGATTTCTTTACACTTGATCTAAGCCAAAAGAATGACACATTCCTTCAAACAAAATGTGTTACAAATCATTCTTTTAAAACTTTTTTTTTTTTTTTTTTGAGACAGGGTCTCACTGTGTAGTGCAGGCTGGTCTCAAACTTGTGATCACACCAGGGAGAGAGTCTTGAGAAAAGAGGCTGGAGGCAGGAAGGGGGAGGGAAGGAGAAACCGCTGGGGTCTGGCTGTGTGTCACGCCACCCCGCCCGGGCGCCCTGGAAGCCCCGCCCACCGCCCTGATCTCAGCACTTCCTGTCAGCCCCCGCTGCTCCCGGGAGAGCCCAAGGCCCAGACAGTCTGAGAACACCTCCCACCTGTCTGTCGCACACCTTCAGCTGCTCCCCGCCCTCTCTCCTCTTACTCTATTTTAAACTGTGAGAAAATAGGTCCCCCCACTACCACATTACAACCACTTTATTCATAAATGCTTTGCCTGTGGCTTTTTAAAATATCTGACACTCAGCATACACATCAGCACTATATTTTAATAGTGAAGTGAAAATCTAACTTCATTTTTGTATGATTGATGTTCTGTTTTCCGGTAAAAATTATCATTTTAGGCTGGGAGGGTGGCACAAACCTGTAATCCCAGCACTGGGGAGGCTGAGGCAGGAGGATCACCGCAAGTTTGAGGCCAGCCTGGGCTACGTAGTGAGTTCAAGGCCAGCCTGGATTACATAGTGTGACCCTGTCTCAAAACAAACAAACAAACAAAAATTTTGTCATTTTAATTGGTTAAACTCATTAAGTGACTTAAATTCTGATGTATAATTTTATATTAGAATGATACTGTCGTATTTCTACCTGGTGTCATGTTATTTATAAAAATATAGTAGTTGGCACAAATATCTCCTTTTGTCATTAAAATATTAAAATATTCATATATACCCACTTCCCTCTGCTTTGTCCTTTGCAGAACCCTCATTATCACAAACAATTTTTTTAAAACGTTTGTAATTCTGGAGATTAAACCTAGGAACTCATGCATGCTAGCAAGCACCCTACCACTGAGTTGCATCCCCCACCCCTTGATTTAAGTGGCATTTCTCTTTGCTTTGGGGTTAGCTCCTAAATTCTATGGATATAGAGTCCATATTTGGAGTGTTATGATTTTTTTTTCTTTCCTTTTTTTGTGGTACTGGAGGTTGAACACAGGGCCTTTATACTTTACTACATCCCCAGCCCTTTTTAAAATTTTTTTTATTTTGAGACAGGATCTCCCTATGGTCCCAAATTTGCCCAGCCTGGGCTGGAACTTGGGATCCTCCTTCCTCAGCTTCCCAGAGAGCTAGGATTACAGGTATGTGTACCATGCCTGGTGATTTTACTTTCTCTTCTTTCGTCCCTCCCTTCCTTCCTTCCTTCCTTCCTTCCTTCCTTCCTTCCTTCCTTCCTTCCTTCCTTCCTTCCTTCCTTTTTGGTACAGGGAAGCAAACTCACAACCTCACGGTTACCAGGCAGGCGCTGTGCTGCTGAGCTATATCCCTGGCCCTCTTACGTCTTTTCATTCTTTTTTTTTTTCTTACCTACCTGTCCGGTCTCCTAGTTCCTCCCAGTTTTTTAAAAAGCATAAAGTGGAGATCGTTTATTGTCCTGGCACAATCAGAACAGCACACAAGGCAGATCTGCTCCGTGAGCTTGTAGACCCATTTGCAGTATCGGAGATGATCCTCACATGTTTATGGGAGAGGATGACCTCAGACAGATGAGTCAGGATGGACCCTGGAAAGGTCCGGAAACCATGCCTGAGCGGGTACTGGATCCCGTGGCATCTTTCTTGTTAACTCTTACTCACCTGCAAGACAGATCCACTGTCCTGCCAAGGAGTCAGCATGCCGATGGGCTGAGAGACCTCACCAGTGGGCAGACCCTCGCCATGTCCCCGGGCTCAGAGCAGACCGCAGTGAAGGTGTTGTGAACTCGCGCTGTGTGATTTCCCGCCGGAGAAAGTTGCAGCGCTGGATAACAGGGAGGTCTGCTTTGGGCAAACCTTACCCAGCAGCCGCACACTCCTGTTTTGAAAGGGTGACCTGCTTGGGCTTCCGTAGGGCAGGCAGGCTAATTCCAGATGAATGAGACAAACTTCAGAGGGAAATGGCAAAAGGCCCCATTCATTCACAGATCCTTACTGAGAGCCCGACACCAGTCTCAGGAAAGAACTTTACTTTTTATCTAAACTGTCTTCCCTAAAACCTTTGCGGCTGCGATTGCTGGTATGGGGTGCTAGCAACTCACTGTTAACATGCGTGGGGTACGCTGGGTCATCATTCTTGTTAGGGAGGTCTGGAGCCTGCCCCCGAGGAGGGTGAGTTTAACGGGGACATAGATTATTATGTCCTAACAGCAGTAACTGTAGTAAGTCTCGAGAGAGTGTAAGGGCTGCTGGGCCTTGAAGGGTGAGTCACACTGTTTTGGGCAGGCAAAGGTGGCCAAGGCGTTTCCGTGGAGTGCAGGGCAGGAGGGGTGGCTGCAGCAGAACGCAGGCTGGTTCAGCCGGACTTCATACAGCTAACCTGGCACCCTGCGGTTGGTTATTTGTCCTTTTGATTGGTGGGAGTTTTGTCTTACCTCCCTGATTGTTGCCATGTTTTTTTTAATTGGGCTCTTTCGTAGGTCAGCATCTCAGCGAGGGTGTCTTACCACTGTAAAGGCATTCTGCAATCCTGAATAACAGCATTTTCCACGGTGGCCTAATTTTATTTAGCTTAAATGACGGAAATTCGTATTCTTGATACTCAAGAACTTGGGCATTATAGCTTGTTGAGCATGAATAACCTTTTTTGTTTTTCTTTTTTTTTTCCCCCAATAACATGTAATTTGTTTAAATTTTGAAGTTCTTTGTCTAGGAAAGTGAAATGTTCACATTTTGAAGCTCTAAAAATAAAACACCAGAGAGATGATTGCCAAAACAATGGTGTCAGTCAGAAACACTTTCTGAATCCAGCTTCTAAAGGAGCACTAATTTCTGACTCAGAGCACGGTTACCAGGCACTGACTGTTGTAAGCCACTTAACAGCAGTATTGAGAAATTTAAGAAATAAAATCCTTGAAAACAACTCCAGTTTTCTAATGAGTTGAGATGATCACATGTTCCTCATATGTAAGATGCAATATAAATGATCACGTATTATAATAAAACTTTAAAATTTTAATGAAGAGCATCACTGTCTTAGTGCCTAGGTTCCTCCAAATCAGATCCCATTAATCATGCATTGCTTTACTTTAGATCGACTTAGAAACACATGTTCTTAATAGCCATGGAGCTGACTGAGACCGAATTTACTAAGGTAGTTTCCTGCCGATTTCTACAGAGGACAGTTGAATAAATGCGTTAAAGAAACTGCTTTGTTTCGGAAAAGTGGAGTGCAGGTGGGGAGTGAGGAAGTGTCTCTTCTCAGTCCTTGTGGATCTGCCCAGCAAGGCTTGGCAGTATTAATTTCAGAAGCATTTTGATTTTGCTAGATTCCTTTATCCTCGTTTTAAAACACTTGCTGTTTATTTCGTAAAGAAGCTAATAGCACACGTAACGATATATCGGATCAGTGTATCGGCGTACCGTATGAACCACTTAATAACTTAATACACTTTTGAGGTCATTTAACTTCTGGATGTAAACTGTTAAATAATTGAGTGCCTATTTTTCAACAGATGTGAATTATTAAAAAGAAAATGGCCCGACGGAGCCCTGTATTTCCTTCTCTTGTCACCGAAGAAAGGTATAATACAAGGAAAATATGCATCTAAGGTACACTTTTCCTTTCCACCAGCCGCATGAGGGTGGCAGTGGGGGTGAGGGTTGCTATAAACGGCTGTGGATCAGGCTGTTACCTGATCCACAAAGTGTTTTGTTCATGGGCAAGAGAAGTATTACTCTCTGCCCTCTCCTGGCTTCCGATTTGTACCATGTTGTGGAGCCAGTGTGTCCACCCCAGAAGTGAGAGTTCCTGGAAGCCCTACGGTAGCCTTGAACTTAAACTCTGGAGGCCTGAGCTCACCTTCTTAGTTTAAAATGTTCCCGTTAGCCCTCTTAAATCCGAAGTTGCAAATCAGAGTCTGCAGGACAGAGGCTCACAAAAGTACCTCACATGGCTGACGTGAACCTCGATGGGTTGTTGGCTTTTAAAAATAAGGCAATTTCCACGCAAGTCTAAATTCTAGCTGTTTTGAAATACCAGATGATTTGGAAAAACGAACCCGCGTTTGCAGTTGGTCATTCATGGGTGCAGCAGAGTCCCAGCGCCTTTAGCTGGGGAAAGACCTTGCCAGTTCTCCGGAGCCGCGCAGTCATTCCCCAGCGGCTTCGTGCGTCTGGGCTTCCTTCGTTGTGTCACCTGCCTGGCCCTGTAGGCATCTGATCTGTAACTGCCTCGGGGGAGGAGGAGGGACAGCCTGTCAGGCTTCGTCAGCTCGATCTTGACATCTCAGCTCACACTCTGTGCATACTCGTGTGCCCGATTCTGCCAGCCTCCTGCCCTTAGAGGGCTGGAGCTGCTGCTGGCACACTGGTCTGTGGGCGCAAGAACCAGTAGATCTGTGTGCCTCACTTTGGGGCAGAATCCCTGGCTCCAACCCTGTGTAGCTCGCAGGGGTAGACAGACTCTATTTCCTTCTCTGCAAAGTCTTGAATCTGGATGTAAAATTCTTCTCCTCCCGACAAACGCCCTTGGTAAGTCGGTCCCTTCCGCAGGCGGGTTCGAACCATGCCCCGCCACAGCCAGTCGCTGAGCATGGCCCCCTACTCCTCCGTGAGCCTGGTGGAGCAGCTGGAAGACAGGATCCTCTGCCACGAGAAGACCACCGCTGCCCTGGTGGAGCACGCCTTCCGGATCAAGGATGACATTGTCAGCAGCTTGCAGAAAATGCAGAACAAAGGGGGCGGAGACCGGCTGGCCAGGCTGTTCCTAGAGGAGCACATCCGAAACATAACGGCCATCGTGAAGCAGCTGAACCGGGACATCGAGGTAAGGTGTGTGCGGGGCGGGCGTGTCCCACTCGAGCTGTATTGCTGGTCTTACCGATGGCCAAGCAGGCAGCTCGCGCCGGTACCCTAAATCGCTTCCGGGATTTGACTGTAGTTCCCATCAGTGTCGTTGGTATTTATTCTAAGTGTACCTTGCTGATTATTAAATCACCATGGTGTGTTTGGCTCTCCATGGAGAGAGCGAGAACAAGTCAGAAGTTTTCTGGGAAACCCTGTACTTCTTTGAAGACAGCTATTCAATCAATTACTAGGTCGGCCTCTGCTGCTCCAGATTAAATGTTTCTAGGCCATCATGATTTGTACGAAACAGTTTATTACTCAGGTAGGCTGGGTATTTGAATTGCTTCGCACGCTTCTCTTTATTGCTGTTTTGCTCAGAAACGGGCCCAGGAAAAGGCCAGTATTACTAATTTAGCATAGTCTGGTTTTTAAAAAAAATTGTTTTTCTGTACAGGGAATCGAACTCAGGACCTTGCACTTGCCAGGCAGGCACTTGTGCCGCTGAGCTACATCCCCAGCTAGAGTCTATAAATTTACTGCTGTTCTCTGAACAATCACAGGACCCATGCAGTTTCGTTCAGAAAGCTTGAGATCGCTCAGGGCTGAGCTTTCATTGCTGCATCGTGGTGATACCGTTCACACGGAAGTATTAAATAACGAATAGAAAATACACACCCAGAGCAAAGAAACCCTGTTTCCAGTCATGGGGATTGTGTCTTAATTGTGCTTCCTGAAATTTGATCATTTCTTTTTTATTATGCCAGATTTGTAAATTTTTAAAAAGTCTTAATGAGAGATAACTGAAATACCGCAATAATTCACCAACTGTAATTATACAATTAAGTGCTTTTTGGTAGATTTATACAGTTGTGCAACCTTCAACACAATTCCATTTTAGGAGTTTGCCATCCACCCCATAAAACCCGCACAAGCTGTCCTTCGACCCCAGCCACTCATCTACTGTCTGTCTTTATAAATTTGTCTTTTCGGGGCACTCCCTATAAATGGAATCATCCATGCAGAAGTCCTTCGCCTCTGGCTTCTGTCACTGAACATAACTTCTTTGGGGTTCAGCCATACCCTCAAATGCATCAGGTTCCTTTTTTTTATATCTGAGTAGTGTGCTCTTGTGTGAATAGACCACCTTGTGTTTATCCATCTATTAGTTGATGGACGTTTGGGTTGTGTCCAGTTTGTAGTCATTATCATTAAAGTTGCTGTGAACATTTTTGTGTGCAAGTCTTCGATGTGGAGAAGGCTTTCATTTCTCTTGGATGACTCTCTAGGAGTGGAATTGCTGGTCTTCCAGTGAGCTGGTGTTTAATTTTACAAAGCAGGGTTGCAAGCTGGCTGTTCATTTTACAGTCCGCCAGCAGTGTGTGAGCGTTCCGGTGTCTCCACCGCCTCCCCCACTCTGACATAGTATCGAGGTGCATTTTTCCGTGCAGCGCCGAGGGAATCCAGGCCGCTTACCCACCAGGCCCCCTGCTGTGAGGCTGCGCTGCACCTGCAGCCCTGTGTTTAACCAGTGTCACATCAGCGCGTGTGTGCTGGCGCCCCATGGCCCACCTTTGCAGTTCTCCAGTGACTGACACGTTGAGTGCCTTTTCGGGTGTGTGGGACGGTCATTTGTAAGTCTGTGGTGAAATGTTGAGTCCAGTTTTCTGCCCATTTTTCATCGCGGGTGTGTGGAAGGTTCCCGTGTTAACCATTTTTCTAAATGTATAATCCATCGCACCCACGGACGATGTCGGTGGTCACTCCTGCTCGTTTCTAAACATCTTTGTCGTCCCAGCAGCATCAGGCAATGCCTCCTACTTCGCTCTCCTCCAGCCTTTGTAACCTCGCTGCTGCTTTTCTGTCTCTGTGAATTTGCATATTGTAATGACGTCATGTAGGGTCATCATACACTATTCGTCCAATATTGTCCAAGTTCATCCATGTTGTAGCACGCATTAAAATCCATTTTAATTTGGGTTGTTTCATTGGGTTGTTTCCCTTATTATTCAGGTTTTTTTTCTTTTTTTCTTGGTACCAGAAATTGAACTCAGGACCTTGCACTTCCTGGGCAGGCACTTGTGCCGCTGAGCTACATCCCCAGCCCTGCTGTATTATTCAGAATTGCTACCAGTTTCTTATATAGGTTAGATACGAGTCCTGTATTAGATACATGACTTACAAGTGTTTTCTCCTATTCTGTGGCTTACATTTTCATTTCCCTAGTGTTAGCCTTTGAAGTACAAAAGTTTTTAATCTGTTCAGTAGTGCTAGGGGTTGAATCTAGGGTCTTACACATGCTACACAAAAACCCCATCACTAAGATGCACTCACAGTCCGAGTTTTAATTTAATTTTATTTATTTTTTTCTTGGGTTTTAATTTTAAGGAAGTCCATTTTACTAGTTTTTTTTTTCTTTTATAGCTTATGCTTTTGTTGTTGTGCCGTAAAATTCTTTGCTTATTAGCACAAGATCACAATGGGTTTTTTGCCCTGTTCGGAACTTTTACTTCCTACTTTTAAATTTGAGATCCGCTTGGAGCTGATTTTTGTGTGCAATGTGAAGTAATAGTCTACATTGCTTTTTGTGTTACTATGGCGTTTGCTGAACAAACCTGACCTTGTCTTTACAAGTCCATTCACTCCAATAGGTTGTGAGTTTTTCCACATGAACAGCTGTGCCTCACTTCTTTCATTGCCAGTCCCAGCATGGGGAGCAGAACGCTATGAGGGCTGCTCCGCTCCATTGTGCCGTTAAATAAAACACCTGGGCATGAATAATTTATAAAGAGCAGGAAGTGCCCTGCCCAGGCCTCTGGTGCTGGTGTGCCTGCTGGCTGTGTGCCCCAGGACGGAAGGGCACGTTCTGTGTCCTCGAGTGGCAGGAAGGTAGCGGGGTGTGGCCTGCCTGACCCTGGTCTTCCTAGAAGGCCCCGATCTGTTCAGCAGGATGCTGTTCCCGTGCCGGCCACCTCCTCAGAGCCCGCCTCTGAGCGCTGCCACGGCAGGAGCACGCTGCTGCATGCCTGATGCCATCCTGGACCATACAGGCGTTTAGCAAGTAAATAAGTGCTCAGGTTAGGCTGGTGCCGGGTGTAGCGCTGCTAGTAGCAAGGACGTAAGAGACTCTGAGGTCCTCTCTGCCAAGGGCATCCTTTCCGGATAGACTTGGGAGAGGCCGGAGAGCTCAGTGCCGGTCAGTGGCAGTGCGGAGACGAAAGCCGGGGATGAAATTCCAGAACTGGACTTCTTTACCTCCCCTGCTTTGCTGCTGCGGAGATTTTCCAGAACCTTAATTTTCTGTGATCACCTCTGAATTTTACGTAGCTGACTGTCCCTCCAGAAGACCTTGTTCGTGGTGCTTGTTAGTTCCAGCTTTGGTTCTCCCTGAGTTCACCCCAACCCATCTTTCTTTTCTTTTTTTTAAATTAAAATTAATGTTTGTTGAAAAGCAACTGTACTTCCACTTCACAGAGACAAATAAAAACAAGACACATGGTGTACAAGAGCATTAAAATGTGAAGTAGTGATAGGTCTCACCGCAAAGTTCACAAGACCTACATACAGAAAACTTAGAGAGCATTACAGAGAAATTGATGATTTCTAGAGATACATTTTAAGGCGAGACACTTGAATGTAACAATTTTCCAGAAAAATCAATCTAATGATCTAATTCTAAGGAAAATCCCTGGTTTTTTTAATTGGCAAGCTTTTCTACAGTTGATATGAAAATCCAAGACACTTGAAATAGTTAAAACAATTTTGAAAAGCAAGAAAAAAAACTTTGGAGGGCAAATATGACAGTATTTCCAAAATTAATATACATTTATGATATCTTATTTACTCTTTCAGCTTCTCACACTAGGGAGACAATAGTGTGTTTACTGATGTGATCTGATTTATTTCACTTATGAATATTGTCTCTAGTTGCATTCATTTACCTATAAAAGCCTCGTTTATCTTTCTTTATAGTGAGTAATACTCCATTGTATAAAAACACCACATCTTTTTTATCCATTCTTTGATTGATGGGCATGTGGGTTGTTTCCAAGATTTAGCTATGACAAATTGCGTTGCTATAAACATGGGTGCACAGATATCACTGTGGCATGATGCTTTTAATTCTTCTGGGAAAAGACCCAGAAGAGGAATAGCTGGGTCAAATGGGACGTCCAGTCCTAATTTTTTTGAGAAATCTCCACACTGATTTTCACAGTGCTGGCACCAGTCCACACTCCCACCAACTCTCCTTTTGATTCACTTAAATCAACAACTGCTTCGGTAATCAGGGTTGTTAACAAGCAAACCTGGGAAACCAAAGTCATCCGTTGTTTTATGCTTTATTGTTCCCCAAACATCCCTGTTCTTCTTTCTTCCCTTCCTCCCTCCCTCACTCCTTCCTTCTTTCTTTCCTTCTTTCCTTCCTTCCTTCCTTCCTCCCTCCCTTCCTTCCTTCCTTATTTCCTTCTCTCCTTTTCCCCTACCCTCCGCAATACTAAGGATTGAACCCAGAGACTCACTCACCCAGCACAAACATATTCTTCTAAGACTTTTTTGGGACAGTTTACAATGCAGTGGGTTTTAGAGCAATTGTAATTTTGTTGTTTTTCCAACATCTGAAACACATCTTATGTAATGATTATTCTTGCCATACCAGACAGCACTCTTCCATTTATACATATTTTTAGAGTATGCAAATTTGCAAATGAGATGATTTCCATTGCAAAGAAGGAAAACTGAATAAAATCTAATTTTGGCGAAAAAAAATTTACTTTGGACGTTTGAGTGTTCACTTTTTTATAACTGGTCATAGCCACCTATCATAATAAAGTGGTAGTAAGGAAGTTTAGAAACTTAAGACTTCAGTGTGGAGTACTAATTATATGGGCTCTGATACATTGTGAAGCTAAGCACGTCTGCCCAAACATAACCAGAATCAGGACGCCTGATGAGACGGAATTGTTACACCATAGGCAGAACTCA